TGATAGTTATTCATTAGTGATCTGTTAGTTAGGAATTAGTCAAATTTTAGTTAATATTAGTTACATTTTAGTTAAACATAATTTTAAATGTTAGTTAAGCATCAGGTTAATGTTAATTAAGCATCATTAAACGTTTTAGACACCAGTTAAATGTTAAGTTAAGCGTTTGTTAAATGTTAATTAAGTATCAGTTAAATGTTAATTCAGCATCAGTTAAGTGTTAGTTCAGCACGAGTTAAATGTTAAGTTAAGCATTTGTTAAATGTTAGTTAAGCGTTAGTTAAATGTTAGTTTATTTAAATGTTAGTTAAACATCAGTTAAATGTTAATTCAGCATCAGTTAAGTGTTAGTTCAGCACGAGTTAAATGTTAAGTTAAGCATTTGTTAAATGTTAGTTAAGCATCAGTTAAATGTTAGATAAGCATTAGTTAATTGTTAATTAATTGTTAGTTAAATGTAGTTAAGTATTAATTATAAAGTATTTAACATGCTTATTGATATCTAATTTGTGTTTGACGTACTTCCAGTGAGACTTGATGGGACTGGATCACGTTTAGGCCTGAACTGTTGTCTGTCTCTTTAACGCTCCTCTTCCTCGTCTCGTTGGTCTTCAGGACCTTGGGGTAACGAAGGTGGGCCATATGAAGAGGATCCTGCAGGGCATCAGGGAACTGACCAGGACCAGCAGTGCCAGCGAAGCCTAACTGCCCCCAGGTGACTCCTTGTGTTGGTTTATTGATCAGATTATTGATTCTGGAGCTTCAGTCATCATAAAACCTGGTGCTGGTAATAGACGTGATCCTGGTTCTGGTCTCAGGTCACTGTTTTTACTCTTTGTTTTTGTTGTCTTGTTGCCTAGCGACCACTGCCTGCTCCTCTTCTACTTCTGCTGCTACTCACCAACTCATCCACCTGACCTCCGACCTTCTGAACAGAACTGGGTCTATAAATCAGTGTAATGGGACCAGAATCAGGACCAGTTTTCAAAAAACTGAACAAAACTTTTTCCAGTGACCTCAAGGTTCCTACCTGGGTCCCATCTGGAGACAGAACCAATCAGATGATCCATCAGTGCCTTCTCATTTCCCCCAGCAGCTGAGGACCAATGAAACCTTCAGATCCCACACATCCAGTC